ACTTAACATGAGATTTATCCTCTTAATAAATTTTTAAGTGTTTAATATATTATTTCTGACTACCGGTGCAATTCGTACAACAGATCTCTGGAGGTTATTCTTGCCAAGGTTCTCTAAAAGACAACTCCTTTCTTCCTTGACTGCCTTTCCCTTCTCAAATCTTCCTGCCCGTCTTTAGCACCATTGTTTTAACGTACAAATCAGACTCAAGCATTGCTCACACTGAAGCATCGATGGGTGAAATCACACATCTGCGATTGGCCTTAAAAGACTCCAGCGAAACAAAACAATGTGGGGTGTAGATGAAGCAAGATTGGCAAGATGCTATGATTGAAATTGGGCGATGGGTACATCGGGGTTCATTATGCTATTATCACTAATTTTGTGTGTTTGATATTTTCCCTAATGTTTTACAACAGACTTGTCATGGTCGGAAAAATGTAACAGGCAGTTTAACTTGATTTGGGAAACACTGTCCACTGTACGTCATGTAGACTTGGTCAGGCACTTGAGACAGAAATGGGTCTGAATTCCAGTTCTGAAATTGAGGTGGCAGTTTCATTAAGGACAGCAGGAGGAGCGTGCTCATCCCCAAGGAGTCATCGAACAGAGAATAATGGGATTCCCCGCCCTGTGCCAGGCGCCACTGCAGCAGGTCAAAACCCTTACCTGGACCCCGCCAAACTTCCCTCCTATGTCCCTCCTATGTCCCCCTACGTCCCATCCCGCACACTCTGCCTCAGTCACGCTGGTTTCCCCGCGGAAGCCCACGAGTGGCCTGTTCTCTGTATCTCCCATTAGGTTGCTGCTCCCACCCAAGGTTGCCAGAGTTAGCAAAAAGACAGAAGAGAAACAGGACTCCTTGAGTTTCAGATAAAGAACAAATCAATTTTAGTATAAGGAGCTCCTCCTGGAATGCCTTCCTTCCTGTTTCTTATCCTCCAGGGTCCGGGCTCTCACCTTTTTAGGAAGCCTTCAGGCATAGCTCTACAGAGGTCCTCGCCAATGCTCAAAACTCAGCCATTTTCTCCCCACCGAGACGGTGGGCAGCCAGGTGGCAAAGGCCATGTGTCTTGTACTCCTGTGCTCCCCTTAGCACTTCGCATAATAATGGTGCTCCAAGAAATAATTCCCGGTCAAGCAGAGGCAAGTGACAGGTGGCAGCTCACAGTGGTTAAGAAGCCAGTTCAAGTGCCAGCTTTCCATCAGGATGGTAACATTTCAGAACCGAAAGGTGCCTCACAGATCATCACATGATTTCACAGAGAGGGACTCTGAGGGGCAAGTGACTAATCATACTGTCAGCTGACTGACATACCTGGATACCTGGCACTGGAAACCCATCTGGGTTGGAGGCAGAAACTTCCTCCATTCTGTCTCCAAGCAATACTGCTGCAGGATTGCATTATGATATTTGCATGGGCATCTGGGCACTTTTTCTTTTTTTGTTGTTGTTAAGAGTGAATTATGGGGCCAGGCATAGTGGCTCATGCCTATACTCCCAGCAGTTTGGGAGGCCAAGGAGAGAGGATCGCTTGAGGCCAGGAGTTTGAGACCAGCCTGGACAACAGAGTGAGAACCCATCTCTCCAAAAAATATTTTAAAATTAGCTGGGCATGGTGGAGCATGTCTGTAGTCCCAGCTACTCAGCTGAGGTGGGAGGATCACTTGAGCCAGGATTTCGAGGCTGCAGTGAGCTGTGATTGCATATTGCACTCCAGCCTGGGTGACAGAGTGAGATCATTTCAAAAAAAAAAAAGTGAAGCGTGGCCCGTATCACCTCCTTCCCTCCTCCCTCTGACTGGGCATTTGGGCATTCACTGCCCCAGTTCCAAGGAATTGCTAACGTTGGGCAAGTTCCGCTTAGTCCCTCTGTGAGGACTGAACACATCAGACGATCATACAGATGAAAGTTTTATTTGTGCTCATCTACTTAGGGTGGATGCAAATTTCAAGATTCGGCTAAAACTTCATTCTCTGAAAAGTAGTATTTTACATGAGGAGAAGTTAAGAGTACAGGCTCCAAAGACAAACTGCTTAGATTCAAGCTGCGGCTTTGCCATTGACACCAGTGCCCTAATTGTGCTCAGTGTCCTTATGACATAAGGCCCTCGATAGCACATGCCCAGCACACAGTAAGTGCTCAATAGGTGCTGGCATTATGAAGTTCGAACAGCACCACTGGTAAACGAGGTACAGATTTCAGAGATGGAAACTGTTTATGCATCCTCACAGTTGAGTAGATGCCACGGTGAACATTTTAGATCAAGAGGTTTTGGGGAACAATTATGAGATAAGCAGAGGAATGGACGTCCCACGGCACCCAGAAATAAATGTTAAAGGAGCCCCTTTCATAATGTAGCAACTTCCGGGCTTCCAGAGAAGTGAATAAGAAAGGCTGGGGAAGAAAGCTAAAAGCCCTCCCACCACCTTGCATGCTGACCTAGGGGCATGCTTCCTTCCACTCTGTGGTTAGAGCCCCAAGATGGCAAAAAAAAAAAAAGAAAAGAAAAGAGCATCCTTTCACACAAGGAGATTAACTGAAATCATCCCTCTGCCTCAACCTCTAGGGGAACCTACTCCTCTTATCTGAAAGGTTCGCTATTCACACAGGTAAACAACAACCAAAGGCTCTCCATATGCTGCTATATGTTCATCTGAGAGAAGATGCCAGTAAAGGACTTTTATTGCAGGTTCATCTGTTGCATTACAATCATACAATGTAAGGGGTAAAGAGTACAGCACATGAAAATCACAGCACTAAACAAACACCAGTCTCCCGTATTTCCTCTAGATTCCCAACAATGTGTAAGGAATAAACAATGGCATATTTTCCTCTTCCTTAAAGGAAGTCACAAAACAATGCTATTATGCTGCGCCATCAGCAGCATCCTCGGTACTAGGACAAAAAGCCAAGCAGCTCGCCCTATGTACAAAGTTGCTGATCCGTAAACAGTGTAATAATAGGACCATTTCACCTCTGCCAGGTCTCCCGGGAGGGTCCCCACATTCCTTACCCAGTGAGGTCCTGAGGTCAATAGCTGAGCAGGGCATGGGCACTGCTAAGTAGAAAGGCACTATGAGAGAAGTTTCTAGCACTGGAACCTGTCTGCAATTCACACAACACTTCAGATGAACTAGGTAGTTTCCCAGAAGAAATCAAAGTTTAATTTTGATAGCGTCATCTGCTCCTAGATCATTATTTTTCAGGGCTGCTTCAACCCCTGAACTCCAGAAACTTAAGGAGGCAAAAAATGACCCTCATCTCTGTGATTTGAGGTTCTAACCTTTCACTCATTCAGCAGATAACTGAAACCTACTGGGTGCCAGGGTTTGCACCCCTCCCTGTCTTTGACAGTAGGCTGTGTTGGGAGCTGCAGAACATACATTTGCTAACTTTAACATTTTCCTTTTTCAAATTGTAGATTCATATCTGACTATATGATTGCACAATGCTAACTATTCTTTTTTCTTCTGCAGAATTATAAACCCTTCACTTAGATTAGTGTAGGTATGAAATATAAATTACAAAAAGGCAAATTATTTCTATTTTCATTAGAAATTTGGCTTTAGTCCTACTTCTATCATAGAATGATTTTCACAAACCATAAAACTATTCTATAAAAAGTTATTTCTGGTCTTTTTGCTTTACCAATTGGTGTAACTTCCACAAAATTTTAATCAGTAGCAAACCAGATAACAAGCTTGTGTTTTTAACATAAAGCTATGACTTTATTATTTGAGGGGTTTTGCTTTGATTAAACTTCATTCAAAAGGACAAGAAGAGAGAAAGTGTGAGAAATCAGATGCTTTTTCTGCTTAAATTCATGAATGGCAGATTCACAGTGGGTTGGAACAGAAATGACAGGGCTCTTCATAAACTCAGAGTTTTAGATTGAGATCATGGAGTTTTCTTCACCAAGACATTCATCAGTGCCCAAAATTCTGGGCTGGAGGAACCGCTGGGAGGCACTTCTCATGTTCTTAGGCCCTCCTTTCATCTTTTGATTATTAAGCTACCAATAAAGGCTAAGAGCATTCATACGTATAAAATCCCTGAACGCCACCCCTCATTCTCTATGGTTTGCCCATTTCAAGGTAGTGTGACATCACCTCTGAAGTCATTCCTGAAGACAAAAAGATGACAGATGGCCAGGGCTAGAACATGACCCATAACAAGGCTGTGTTAAGAGAACATGTATAACATATAAAGCAGGGGCTCTCTACCTCTGATGGCCATCAGAAATACCTGTGCACCTTTCTAAACATGGCAGGGCTTGGACCTCACTCCCTACCCCCAAAGGTGGAACTCTAGGCAAGTATCTCTTGCCAAAGCTTAATCAGCCATTCTGGTATGTGCCACAGAGGACTCACTGGTGCAATGTTTCTGCCAGGCATATTCAAGACCCTTATTTTGAACAGCTAGAGATGACTGATCAATGGTGCATTTTACAAGGTCACCATTTTAATTCCTTCCTTTGTTTACTCTTGGTGCAGATTACCCAGCAACAAGCATGCATAAAACGTCAGTTCTTTATAATTAAAGTTAGGATTTTTTTTTTCTGTTGCCCAGGCTAAAGTGCAGTTTTGTCATCATAACTCACTACAACCTCCAACTCCTGGGCTCAAGCAATTCTCCTGCCTCAGCCTCCCAAGCAGCTGGGACTACAGGTGTGCACCACCACACCCAGCTAAAATAGAGATAGGGTTTTGCTATGTTGCTCAGGTTGGTCTCAAACTCCCAGGCTCAAGTGATCCTCCAGCCTCAGCTTCCCAAATTGCTGATATTACAGGCATGATTCATGCCTGGCCAAAGTTAGGATTTTAAATGGACTTTTGCTTTTCATATTTGGCTTACTTTATATGGTAGAGTCAAGATTTTTTTTTTTCGACTTCTTTTTTATAGCTAGTTTCATTGAAAATTCTTCTGGTTTTAGTGTTCTGCTAATCTCTTGCTTTTAAAGATAAAGGGATTTGTACATTCTTTAAAAAAAAAAAAAAAAGACCCTACTGAAAACATTCTTCTTAGCAACTTCTGATTAAAAGAAAATTTACCGAAGTTTTAAGCTTTAGTTTATGAAACAGGATCACAATTCCTTTCCCCAATTACTAATACCCAGATTGTTTCAAATCCCCAAAAGGGAAAGTCCAAAATTTCCATTATAGAATTCCTATGCCTTAGCTTTTGCAATATTTCTCTGCAAAGGAGCTAGGATGACCTCAACATTCCTGTCTTCACTCTCGGAGCTATACAAATCATGATTTTTGATATACTCTTGGACAAGCTCTGGTACTAAGTAGCGAATGCTCTGGCCCCTTCTGAGGGCTCTCCGGATCTTCGTGGACGAGATGTCATTAGTGATCCATTCGTTCACCAGGTGGATGTTGCTCTGGTGTTTCCACAGCACATCAGATTCGTAGATGAACTTCTGAGCGTCACTTCCGGCCCGAGTGATACATACGAGTCCATAGTCTGAGACGATCTGGGCGATATCCTCACTCTTCCACAAATTGGGAACCCCAAAGGACTCCAATAAATCTGCCCCACACAGCAACTTCACCTTTGCCACCCCTGGGAAAAAGAGTAACACAGAGCTTCAGGGTTTGCTTTTCTAATAACCCCCTGCATCAAATGAACGTGTGTTTGTTTTTTCTGGGAATGAGGGTTTACAGTTTTATCAGACTCGGATTTCCAAAAGAGATCCAGGACACCTAAAAAGTCAAAGACCACTGCAGGAGAAATAAGCTCAGGGTGCCTTCTACTCTCCCTTTCTTCACAAAACTAACGAGGGGCATCTCCAGGCACCCACATGTATGGAACAGGCAATGAAAATACAAAGGGGGTTTGTCCAGCTCTAGAATCTTTTCAGTTCTAGTCTGTGAGTCCTGGTAAAACACACAAACCTTTTGTTTTGGGATCTAGGGATTTCTTTGGACTGGAATCTTGTCTTTGTTCAGTCCACTTCCTCTTCCGTCCAGGCCTTTCTAGCATAGGTGAGTTCTGCTGCTGGTCACAGTTACTAGCCTCCAGCTTCTCTTGATGGTGTCTATAAAATGACAAAACAAAATAGTACACTTCTGTTTCTTACAATACTCCACCAAAATATCACTAACAAGACTTAATGTTATTTTTTATGTGCCACACACTACACTAAATCCTTTACATGGGTATCTGATTAAAGCTTCTCAACACCCCATACCATAAATGCAGAGTCCCTGGAACACAGGAAGCAGTCAGTATTTTTTTTTCCTTTTTTGAGATAGGGTCTCACTCTGTTGCCCTGGCTGGAGTGTAAGTGGCATCATCATAGCTCACTGCAGCCTCCAACTACTGGGCTCAGGTGATCCTCCTGCCTTAGCACTTCAAGTAGCTGGTCCTACAGGTGCCCACCACCACACCCAACTAATTGGCCTCAAGACATCTTCCTGCCTCAGCCTCCCAAAGTGCTAGGATTACTGGTGTGAGCCACTGTACCTGGTGGCATTCTATAACAATTTAACTGACTGAATATTAGACAGAAAAGCTTTTCAGAAAGTCCTTTTATTTTACATTCAAGATAATATCAAGAAATAATTAGATGTTGCTTACTCTGGTTTCTGAACCCTTAACTGGAACTGTTATAAAGATATGAGCGCAGAGATTTGTGATTGCCGCCATGCTGTCAGGCCTATCCATGCTGAAGCAATACTTGATGTTTCTCTTCCTAAAATTACCTGCCTCTCTCTTTTATACCTAGAAGACTGATGACAGTAACATCCTCTTACAATTCTGCCTATCTCATTTGGGACCCAGACAGGCCAGGCAGGCTTCCTTTATTTTCTAATAGATACTGCACAGCAGCAAAAGCATGCAAACATCTCAGAACGTAATGAAGGACACAACAACTAAGGAATACCTATCCGCTGTTGCTGTGCTATGCACCTTCCGTGGGAATGACACAGCTTAAGCCTTTCCAACCCTAGTGACGATTTTACAAATCTGTATGTTCACGGAGGCAGGCAGTATTGACACATGCCAAAAAGACAAGAAAGCTTCCCACCCATTTCCACAGAACTGACAAAGTTGGTTTCACCATAAATACCTTAGCACCTTAACAGTCTCTACCCACTCCTTCTGAAGACTTTCCCAGGTGTCGACTTCCACCCATTTTGAATTCTTGGTGGCAAGTTCTGCCATGATTACTCGGTGATGGGCAGGGATGAGCTCTTTCTTATTATACGCATCACCAACAGGAGAAATTATGCCTTTGATAACTCTGTACTTTCCTGCATAAAGAGATTTGATATTAGATTTAATGCACAGCAAATATTATGATTAATATTGTTTTATAATCACAGATTCTTTTTTTTAAAGAGGAATTTCGGTTAACTGATTGATCTACTGATTGATTGAAATTGTGGTAAAATATACATAACATAAAACTTACCATTTTAACCATTTAAGTGTACAGTTCTGTGATATTAAGTACACGTACAAGTATAATGTAAGTGCAGCCATCACCACCATCCATCTCTAAAACCTTTCCACCTTCCCCATCTGAAACTTTACCCGTCAAACACTAACTCCTCATCCCCCTGCCCACTTTAAATTTTGATTGATACTGCCAGATTACTTTGTAAAAAGTCTTAATCAATTTGTATTGTCTACCTAGAGTGTATGCAAGAGCCCATTTCTCTCAAACTTCTGATACTTAATACTACTAAGTTTTAAAGTTTTGTTAATGTGATGGGCAAAATATATCTTATTTCTTATGTTATTTAAAAAAAATTTGTTTAATTTATTTAAATAATGCAATATTTAAATACATATTGCCCAGGCTAGAGTGCAGTGGCTCAATCAAAGTTCATTGCAGCCTTGAACTCCTGGCTTAAGCAATCCTCCCAAAGTACTGGGATTATAGGTGCATGCCATCATGCCCAGCTAATTTTTAAATATATCTTATAGAGATAGGGTCTTGCTATATTGCCCAGGCTGATCTTGAACTCCTGGTCTCAAGTGATCTTCCTGCCTCGGCCTCTTAAAGTGCTGGGATTACAAGCCTGAGCCACTGCACCCAGCCCCCTATTTTATATACATTTTTACTCTTTTACAACATATTTAGTCTTTTATAATGAACATATGAGGGCTATCTGGAAAATATCCAGCCATTGCATCCATGTATCCATTGTATCCATGGCTGGATACTTTCTGGATAGCTCTCATACACACAGTGACCACAAAGTCTAGAAACAGGGGCATATACATAACAAGTGGTTTACTGATATTGTATTACAGTATGTGTAAAATGATATTATGCATACTTTATGGCCACCCTTTATTCATATATTTTTTATAAAAACTTTAAAAAGGTATCTGTGCCTGATTCTGGGAGTATTAATGTATGCTAAAGTAAGGGTTTTCACTTTCTGCTTTACATAATGGGAAACTCCTGAAATAAGTTTAAGTATGGGGGTGACAGAATCAAATTTCTATTTTAGAAAAGCCATTCTGGAATAATGTGGATGAAAAACCAGTGTGGAGAGAGGGAACAGACTGAAGTCAGGAAGATCAGCAGGACACTTGCAACAGTCCAGCTGGATGTGGATTTAACTGTAAGCAGCAAATGCTTACTTTGCTGACTTCCCTCTTTCTTTACTCTACAAGTCACTGAGGAGGAAAAACAGTATTTACATGCACAGATATGAAACTGTTAAATGAGTGAATCCCTGGATGAAGTGGAATTATATAAAAGCAATGTTGCCCTATGGAACAAGAAATCTTGAGTTTTGTGGATTCGAAAATCATTATTGTTTCTTCTACTGGACTCTCAATATATAAATCTGTATCTTTTATTCTCTAAGCTGTTAGTCAGATGCTCAATTCTTCCCTGAACATACCTCGCCCTCTTTCTTGGCTGAGTCCCTGTATAAGGGAGTAGGACAGCATGTTTGTGGCCAGTTGCTCAAATGTATACTCTGAAACAGAACTATCCTTATTGGTTCTACAGTCTTAAGTTGCTTTTGGTTACTGTTCCTACCTGTCCCATTCAGGTAGTCCTTGGCCAGCTCGAACAACCTGAGGTGCATGTTGGTGACAGGATTAAAGGAACCACAAGCAAGGAGAACCACTTCTGTCTTCTCCGAATTTTCCATGGTAGGAATTTGAAGTTGTTGATCTAAATGGAAAACTGTGACACCTCCCTTGATGTCTACAAAGGAAAAACAAAATAAGTTCAGTTACAGATCTTTTGAGGTCCTTCCATGTTCTCATTTCAAACAGAGAGATAAAAATATTTGGCTTCAATAATTATGCTAGATAGACTGTAAAAAGGGCTCTATTTTTCCACCCCTTTTACCATAAAGGGATAGAATCTGCTTCCTCACTCTCTGTGACTTGCTTTGGCCAAAAGAATGCGGCAGAAGTGACAGCATGCCAATTCTGAGTCTAGGCCTTAGAGCAGAGGTCCCCAACCTTTTTGGCACCATGGACTGGTTTCATGGAAGACAATTCTTCCAAGGATCGGGGGGAGGGGGGCAGAGCTCAGGTGGTGACATGAGCGATGGGGAGCGGCTATAAATACAGATGAAGCTTTACTTGTGCAGCTCACCTCCTGCTGTCCACCCCTCCACCTCCATCCGTGGAAAAATTGTCTTCCATGAAACTTAGGAAGGGCAGGGGGCTGTGGCGCAGCTCTGAGGCCTGGTCCCTAACAGGCCATGGACTGGTACCACAGCCTTAGAGGCTTACTCCTCCTCTCTCTTTGGACTGCTGCTCCTGCCACGAAGCTAACCTGCTGCAAGATGACAGAAAGTGTGGAAGAGAGCTGATAGCTCCAGCAGATGAGACACCCAACCATTCAATATGTGACCGCAGCCATCACAAACCAGCCAAACCACAGCCAACCTGCTCAGACACACGAGCAAGCCCAGGTGAGGTCAACCAAGCCTGGCTCAGATCAGCAAACCAACAAGCAGTCCCTAGTCTCATGAGCGAAAATGAATGTTTATTGTTATATGCCACTCAGGTTTTGTGATTGCACTATTGTGGCCACGATTAACTGATTACAATGATATTATCTACCAAGTGTGACTCAGTAACAACCTGCCTTTCAAACAGTATTTTTGCCTTTTAGTCATTATGATCATAGTAACATTAATAGTTTATAATATATAAACCCCTTTTTCATATCAATTACTCCAATTGATCCTTCCATAACCCTAATGAAGTAATGCAAGACATCTGATTTTTAAATTTTATAAAAATTTTTAGGCTGGGCACAGTGGCTCATGCCTAAAACTCCTAGCACTCTGGGAGGCTGAGGTGGGAGAATCACTTGAGCTCAGGAGTTTGAGACCAGCTTAAGCAAGAATGAGAACTTGTCTCTACAAAAACACAGAAAAAAAATTAGCCAGATGTGGTGGTGCACACCTATAGTCCCAGCTACTCAGGAGGCTGAGGCAGGAGGATCGCTTGAGCCCAGGAGTTTGAGGTTGTAGTGAGCTACAATGATGCCACCGAACTCTAGCTGGGGCAACGGAGTAAGACTCTGTCTGCCAAAAAACCAAATTCTTATTAAACTAATTCATGTATATAGGTTTAAAAACTCTAGGGCAAAAAAAAGGCCCATAATAAAAACCAACAGCCATCAACCATACCTCACTCATCATCACCCTCCCTCCAGCTCCCTAAAGGCAATGACTTTTAACTTTTTCAGCTATTTCTACTGGTAGATTCTACCGTAACTCTATATTATGTGCTTATAATGCTATTTCTTAATTCATCCAATTTAAACAATTTATCCAAATTAAATCACCTATTGACTTTCTTTTGTGATCCATGAGGATTAGCTCTCATACCTCCTCACTACCCTCTCCCAAACTTCCCAATATAGTTTCCTTCTAGTGTATGTTGAAAATCATCTTTCCCCAGAATTTTGAAAGCATTGCTTCTTCCAGATTCCAGTGTTAACAGTGGACATCCAAAGTCACTTATAGTTCTGGAGCCTCTGAATATCACTTATTTTTTTCCTGCCTTGAAGCTTGTAAGGTCTTCTCTTTGTTCCCACTGTTCTGAAATTATGCATGTCCTCTAGTGCAGCTCTGTTTCCATCCACTGAGCTGGGCACTCAGCAGGCCCCTTCAATCTCAAAACTCATAGCTTTCAGTTCTGGAAAATGTCTTTGAATTATTTCATTGATTTTTTGCCTTCTATTTTCTCTGTTCTTTGGAAAGGCCTATCACACAGAGCTGAAGCATCTGGACCTGTCTTCTAATTTATTTTCTCTTTTCTTTCTTTCTTTTCTCCTTTCTTCCTTCCTCCCTCCCTTCCTTCCTTCCTCCCTCCCTTCCTTCCTTTCTCCCTCCCTCCCTCCCTCCCTTTCTGACATTGTCTTGCTCTGTCACCTAGGCTAGAGTGCAGTGGCGTCATAACAGCTCAGCATGACCTGAAACTCCTGGGCTCAAGCAATCCTCCTGCCTTAGCCTCCCAAGCAGCTGGGACTAAAGGCATGTGCCACCATGCCCAGCTAATTTTTCTGTCTTTTTGTAGAGACAGGGTCTTGTTCTTGCTCAGGCTAGTCTAGAACCCTTGCCCTCAACTGATCCTCCCACCTTGGCTTCCCAAAGTGCTAGGATTATAGGTATGAGCCACCTCGCCCAGCCTGAAGCATTTTTAGAATTAACATAGACATATAGCAAATGGAGGCCAGGAGTTGGAGACCAGCCTGGGCCACATAGCGAGACACCATCTCTACAGAGAATTAAAAACAAAATTAGCCAGGCATGGTAGCGCATGCCTGTAATCCTAGCTACTCGGGAGGCTGAGGCAGGAGGATTGCTTGAGCCCAGGAATTCAAGGCTGTGAGACCCTGTCTCAAAAGGAAAATAAAAAAAAAGAAATATAGCAACTGACAATAAACCAATAGTTGTACAGTACTTTTCAGCTTTTAATACTTGTCACATATGTTATCATTTAATCCTCACCATAAAAAATAATTTGGCCAAAAGCATTTGGCATGTTTCAAATAGTGATCTATAGTTACTTAGCTTTTGCAGTTAATCCTCTACCATTGGACATTCAGATTTTTCTAATTTTTCACCATTACAACTCAAAAAAGAAATAATGGGTTAAATTCTCAGTCTTTGGTTTTTGTTTTTCTTATTTGAGACAGGGTCTCATTTTGTCTTCCAGCCTAGAGTGCAGTGTCATGATCACAGGTCACTGCAACCTCAAACTGCTGGGCTCACATGATCCTCCTGCCTCAGTCTCCTGAGTAGCTGGGACCACAGTCGTGCAACCCCATGGCTGGCTAATTCTGTTTTTTTATTTTTTGTAAAGACAGGGTCTTGCCATGTTTCTCAGTCTGGTCTCAAACTCCTGGCCTCAAGCGATCTTCCTGCCTCGGCCTCCCAAAGTGCTGGGATTACAGGCGTGAGCCACCATGCCCAGCACCTGTGGTATTATGGGGTAGTGACAAATGCAACATCCCCACAGTACTCTGGGCCCTACAGAGAAATCAGGGTATCTGCCAGCCACTGAACATGCTCTCGAGGACTGTGGTGGAGGGGCTGGGTTCAGCTGGTGCTCCGTGTCAGTCCCAGCTGCACCATCTCAGGTGTCAGGTGACAGTCCCCAGAGAGAGTGAGATGGAAGAACGGTGAGGCTGAGATCATGAGGTGTGGGTCCTGAAGGGAGCTGCCTGTGGTCCTGAAGCAGAGTTCAGGGAAGGATGGAACAAAGAGCTTGAGCTCTGTCCTGGGGGATGAGCTCAAGTTTCCAGGTGATTCCCAAGGGATAGGGAGGGGGCTGGGGAAGCTGATCTCTCAGCATAAAGGAAGCTCTTTCCTCCCTGTCATGTTCATAACCTGTCTCAAATATCCAGCATAGTTCCATTAACTCACTGTGAACACAGCCAACTTGAGCTCAGACTAAGCTGCAGAAGAGTTAAGGTTACAGTGAGCTCCTAGTGTAGCCCAAGGTAGGTTTAAAAGAACTAAAATCTTCCAAAAAAAAGAACTAGGATCTGTTCCTCCCCCAGGGAAAGTACTTCCTCTGTATCCCTGCTGTGTGTGTGTATGCGCGCGCCGGGCGCACAGCAGGTGATGAATGGATGCAGAAGAAGTTTGGAAGCTCTAACGGGACTGTCCTGGATCCTCCTTGCCTCACTCCAGGTGCTCTGGGACCAGCGTCACCATGATTCACTTCTGTTTGGCCCACACGGCCTATCACTTGCACTGCTGGCTGCCAGGAACTCACCGGCTCAGGCTGTAAGTGTCTCTCCTCAGCTGTGATAATAAGGAGTTAGTTCATTTCTTTCTGAGGCAGTTTTGAGATTTCACCAAAATTTACTTTTAATTTTAAAATAAATGGTCCTTTAAGTTTTAAGCCCGTTTTTAAAACATTAACTTTTCATGAATAGTAATTCTGTTTGGCTTTCTTTGTCACATTTTAGGATGCTCAAGATGATTAAACCTGTGTTGGTTGACTGTGAAATGTGACCTTACCACCTCTCAGAATGTACATCTCTAAAAGGACACTATTCCTTTCAAAATAGTAACTTTAAGCATGTAGCTATATTCTTGTTCCAACAATGCTGCCATTGCTTTAAATACTCTTGGGGGTATATTTTGAAATCGCATATTCATTTGAGTACCTTCACTGGGGAGAAATCTTTGTCTTTGGAGGGTATATTTGATTTCTACAAATGCTCTAAAGTTGTTCAGTGATAAACCCAATAAAATAAATAAGGTGAATAATATAGTTTATAGTGAAGAAAAGAGAGAACTACTAGTTAATGAGGAAGATTTTCTTATGTGACACAGAAACTATATACGTGTAATTAAATTTCAAAAATGTTTTGAGCAGTAACAGCAATCTTCATTTGGTTGTGCACACTGTGGTAAGTAGGTTAACTCTCACTTTATTAGTTATAGTCAATGTGAATCTTCTGGCTGGAGACAGAGCTAGCAGAACCTAGGGGTGTGGCCTCAGACCTGGGTTCAAATTCTAGCCGTACCACTTACGACTAGGTGTTTGTCCTTGGACAAGACACTCAAAACTTAACTGAGTCTCAGGCCAGGCATCGTGGCTCAAGCCTGTAATCCCAGCACTTTGGGAGGCCGAGGCAGGAGGATATCTTGAGGATGGGAATACAAGACAAGCTTGAGCAACATGGTGAGACCACGTCTCCATGAAAAATTTAAAAATCAG